GTGGCGAGCGACGAGATGAGGGATTCCTTGTCCATCATCGCTAAAAGACCAAGACGGTGGTGGAGAGCGGTGCCGCCACCGGACGGCGGTTGTTNCTCATCCTCGCGGGTGGCTAACATCGTTGCGAGCATCTGCGGTCTCCATCCCCACCCAGAATCCACGGGCCCCCCAGCTCCCACAGCCCCCCCGCTTCCACGGCCTCCAAGACTCGGATCCGGCTGCGGCGGGGGCGGTAGGTCGCGGCGTCCTTGATCCACGGCCTCCCGGGTGGCGAGCGACGAGATGAGGGTGTCCTTGTCCATCATGTCCAACAGCTCAAGGCGGTGGTGGAGAGCGGTGCCGCCACCGGGTGGCGACGGCGGTTTTTGTTGCTCATCCATGAACCGCACTCCATCGCCGCGTGTGCGGCCGTGAACCCTCGNAAGCGGCGGGTGCGGGGGAGCGGGGGTGGCGGCGCTGGTGCGCTGCGGCGGCGGCGGCGGCAGGCCCGGGGGCGAACGGGGCGGCGTTGTTGCTGGTGGTCGCTGGTGCAGGCGGGATGTAGGTGTACGTTCTTGATGGCGGGGGCGGCGGCGGTGTGGCATCGGCCGCAGGTACGGCGGTGGCCGGCGAGGGCGCCGCGGTGATCGAAGAACCCCCCCGATGCCCGGCACCGGCGCCGGCGCCCCTGCCTGGCGGTTGACCCACACGACGTTGTTGGTGAGGGCAAGGCGACCGGTGTCAGCGCGAAGAACGACGGCGGTAGACGTCGAGTGGTTGTTGGCGCCGTGCAGGTAGAAGCACCGCGCGGATTGGACGTCCGCGTTGGTGGCCCGCTTCACGCGCATCATCCCCTCCTGGAAAAAAGGGACGACGGTGAGGGGCGGTTTCCGGCCGAAGAACGCCTCAAACGGAGACATCCAGCCCAGGTTGGCCTTCGTCGCCGAGCGGTTGAAGCAGGCGGATGCCCACAGCGCCGACGCGAGCCACAAGCGATGTCCGTTGACGCCGACGTTGGGGATGGAGGAGAGGTCGACATGGCCCATGGCGAGGATTTGGCGGCGCGCGGCGTGGCCCCCCTTCATGGCGCGCCATATGGCGCTCTCGACCACCGCGTTTTGCTTGGGGGTGTCGGGGGCGGTGTACTCGCGCCGAATGCCAGCAGCGTCGCAGAACGAGGTGAACGCGGAGCCGGTGAACTCGCCGCCGTTGTCCATGCGGAAGCACCCCGGAGTGCCCATGCCGTTCATGTCGGCGAGGAAGCGCTGCACGAACTTCACNACGCGAGCCACAGGCGATGTCCGTTGATGCCGACGTTGGGGATGGAGGAGGGGTCGACGTGACCCATGGCGAGGATGTGGCGGCGCGCGGCGTGGCCCCCCTTCATGGCGCGCCATATGGCGCTCTCGACCACCGCGTTTTGCTTGGGGGTGTCGGGGGCGGTGTACTCGCGCCGAATGCCAGCAGCGTCGCAGAACGAGGTGAACGCGGAGCCGGTGAACTCGCCGCCGTTGTCCATGCGGAAACACCCCGGAGTGCCCATGCCGTTCATGTCGGCGAGAAACCGCTGCACGAACTTCAGGGTGTCGCTCTTGGCCCGCATCCCGTACCCCCGTTGCCACCGCGATGCGCTGTCCACGAACATGATCAGGTACCGGGAGCCGTCCAACGCGTCAGAGAACGGGCCCGTGAGGTCGATGTGGACTTTGCCGAACGGTACCGCCGCGCGGGTGCCACGCCGCGGCACCGGTGCCCGCCTGCCCTTCGCCTTCACGCAGCCCACACATGGCTGCATCTCCCCCACCAGTCGCACGCCCTGCTGCTTGGCCGTTTCACGCATCAA